CTCCCGAAACGGGGCACGACCCCGCGTCTCCTGCATCGGCAGGCGGACTCTCAAGCACTGCGCCACCAGGGAAGCCCGAGCACTCATATTTTTGAGCAAAATTACTATCACTATTTTCTTGCCAACCAGAAAACTATTCTTATATCATATACAAAATTTAGAATGTTTATTTATGGAAAATTAAATAGCAGTATTCACTATAACATGATAATGATATATTAAAACAAAAAGGCAAAAGGCAAAGGGTTCCTGGGATGAGTGTGATGGGAAGAATTTTCAGGTCACTCTGAGGTCTGACAGCATGATTATATACTTGGACATTTCCTAAGTGAACCATGCATAAGCTGGTTATGCATAAGCATATCCAGTCTTTGATCTTAGTGATATATTTTCTTTACTAAGTATATGTGAATGCTTTGTTTCTATTAGTTTGACCAATATCCTGAGTATCTCTGAGCAGAAGATGTTCATGTTCACCTGTTGAGCAGGCCTCTGATGATTGCAGGAAGACTGGACAATTTTTTCTTTTGTCTAATTGGTGAAATCACCCCGTAAGTTCTAACTATCCTATCTGATTTGTCCTCTTCTTTTTAAAATTGGAACTTTTATCTCTGAATTATTTAAAGGGTATTATATTACTCATTTTAAAAAGGATTTAATGTAGCATCTTCTAGAACAGGTCAGTTTTTGATGTCCTATGTAGCTACTAAGTTTTTTCTATCTTAGTGTATATCTCTCCTTCATGTATTTTTTTTGGAATGGCTCTTTGGAAGAATTAAAGTATTTTCCAAGAAAAAAAAATATTGGAGGTTGTGAGGAAATACGTACTCATATAACACCACTGCTAGGGCTGGAAATTTGTATATTCTCTATCGAGGGTAATTTGGCAATAATTTGTCACAATTATGAAGCTTATACCTTTTGACGTGCCATTTTTAGGATTTTATTCTACAGATATGCCTGAACAAATGACACATATCCAGGGTTGTTTACTGCATCACTTCTTATGATATCAAAAGGCTGGGAGTCACCTGCTGTTTATCAGTAGGGGATTGTTACCTGAATCATAGAACAGTTGTCAATTCTCTGAAACTCTAAAAAAAAAAAAAAAAAAAGAATAAGACGTTCTCTATCAATAGGAAAAGATCACTGAGCTATAGTAAGTGAAAAAGCAAGTCATGGGTTAATTTCTAGAGCATCATCATTCTGTTAGAGGGGAGAAATGTAAATATGCTAGTTCACTTGCTGGAAAATAGGCACCACGTACTGGGAAGGATTCCCCAGGAGCAGCTGACACTGGTTCCCCCAGGGGGAGATCTTGAGGCCTCGGGGACCTGGGTGGGAAGGAGATGCCCATAGCCTGGGTGCCTTTCTCAATTTTTTTTTTTTTTTAAGATTTATTTATTTATTTATTTATGGCTGTGTTGGGTCTTTGTTGCAGTGCGCAGGCTTCTCTTGTGGTGGCTTCTCTTGCTGCGGAGCACGGGCTCTAGGCGTGCAGGCTTCTGTGGTGTTGGAGCATAGGCTCAGTAGTTGTGGCTCGTGGGCTCTAGAGCGCAGGCTCGGTAGTTGTGGTGCACGGGCTTAGTTGCTCCAAGGCATGTGGGATCTTCCCCGACCAGGGATTGAACCCATGTCCCCTGTACTGGCAGGCGGTTCTTAACCACTGCACCAACAGGGAAGCCCGCCTTTCTCAATTTTTTAAAAGACTTAATGTTTTTATCATACTAAGTTAAGTAAGCCAGACAGAGAAAGACAAATATCATATGAGATCGCTTATATGTGGAATCTAAAAAAATTATACAAATGAACTTATTTACAGAACAGAAAAAGACTCACAGACATAGAAAACAAATTTATGGTTACCAAAGGGGAAAGCGGGGGGAGGGACAAATTAGGAATTTTGGATTAACATAAACACAATACTATATATAAAATAGATAACCAACAATAAAATAGATAGCCATACCTACTGTATGGCACAGGGAACTATACTCAATATCTTGTAATAACCTATAAAGGAAAAGAAATTGAAAAAGAATACATGGGAATTCCCTGGTGATCCAGGGGTTAGGACTCGGCGCTTTCACTGCCTGGGCTGGGGTTCAATCCCTGGTCAGAGAACTAAGATCTTGCAAGCTGCATGGTGCTGCCCCCCCAAAAAAAAGAATATATATAATATCTATATATAATATATATATTATATATTTATTATATATTAATATATTCTATATATTCTATATATAATCTATATATTAATATATTCTATATAATATATATGTATGTATTATATATAGAATCACTTTGCTGTACACCTGAAACTAACACAACATTGTAAATCAACTATACTCCAATTTAAAAAAAAAGACTAAATAAAGACTTTATTTTTTTTAGAGCAGTTCTAGGTTCACAACAAATTTGAGAGGGAGGTACAGATTTCCCACATACTCCCTGACCCTCCCTCATTATCAGCAGTCTCCACCAGCGTGGTGCATTTATTACCAAGGTCAAACCTACACTGACACATCACCATCACCCAAAGTCCATAGTATATGTTACTTCACTCTTGGCATCATACATTCTATGGGTTGGACAAATTATAATGACATGTAGGGCTTCCCTGGTGGCGCAGTGGTTGGGAGTCCGCCTGCCGATGCAGGGGACACGGGTTCGTGCCCCAGTCCGAGAGGATCCCACGTGCCGTGGAGCTGCTGGGCCCGTGAATCATGGCCGCTGGACCTGAGCGTCCGGAGCCTGTGCTCCGCAGCGGGAGAGGCCACGGCGGTGAGAGTCCCGCGTACCGCAAAAAAAAAAAAAATAATAATAATGACATGTATCCATAATTATTATATCATACAAAGTATTTTCACTGCCCTAAAAATCCTCTGTGCTCCACGTATTCATCCCTCCCTCCCTCCGTCCTAACCCCTGGCAACCACTGAGCTTTTTATTGTCTCTGTAGTTTCACTTTTTCCAGAATGTCATGTAGTTGGACTCATCCAGTATGAAGCCTTTTCAGATTGGCTTCTTTCACTTAGTTTTAATGCATTTAAGCTTCCTCCACACCTTTCTGTGGGTGATAACACATTTTTTTTTAGTGCTGAATAATATTCCATTGTCTGGATGTGCCACAGTTTATTTACCCATCCACCCTCTGAAGGTGGTTGCTTCTAAGTTTTGGCAGTTATGAATAAAGATGCCATAAACATCTGTGTGCAGTTTTCAGTTGTGGATCTACGTTTTTCCCTTTAAAAATTTGAATGATGGGGCTTCCCTGGTGGTGCAGTGGTTGAGAGTCCGCCTGCCGATGCAGGGGACACGGGTTCGTGCCCCGGTCCGGGAGGATCCCACATGCCGCGGAGCGGCTGGGCCCGTGAGCCATGGCCGCTGAGCCTGCGTGTCTGGAGCCTGTGCTCCGCAATGGGAGAGGCCACAACAGTGAGAGGCCCGCGTACCGCAAAAAAAAAAAAAAAAAAAAATTTGAATGATGTAAACGTACTACCTATTTCAAAGTGGAAAACTTTTGCCTGAAATGAAAAAGTAAAATAAAACAATTTTTTTTAAAGAAAAAAATTCTCCGTAGTCCCGCAACTCTCATCGTAAAGTGGTGTCATTTTTCATTTGCTGAACCCCAATTCGTCTGTATCCGTTTGTTGAAGATGTCTCTTGTGCAAGGTGCTGAGTGCTGTGGGGACTTCCCAGAGAAACACTTCAGTGCAAGCTCTGTCCACCGCCTGGAAATGTCAGGTGAGGGTTGGACACAGCACGTGCTGAAGCGCGCAGGCAGCAGGGATGGCTTCCTGGAGCGTAGGGGGAAATCCCTGCCCACCTCGCTGGGGAGCCAGCATCCTTTCCTGCATCTCCTTGAGGCCCGGCTTGATGTGTGATGTGTGTATACCTGTGTGATGCATTCGTGTGTGGTGTGACGTGGTACACGTGTGATGGGTGTGTGTGTGTGGTATGTGTTTGTGTGTTATGCACATGGTGCGTGTGCTGTGTATTATGTGCTGTGCACACAATGCGTGTGTGTCCCGGGCTCATGCCGGGGTGGGTGGACAGGCACGTGGAGTGGCCGGGCAGAGTCAGACCTTGGAGAAACCACAGTGGGCTGACCCCGCCCCCAATTCCTGGGCTCTCTCCTGCACCTGCCAGGGGGAGCATCACGGTGTGACCTTTGACCTGTGACCCGAGGTGTCTAGTGGCTGACCCCACCCACCTGGCAGCAATGCTGATCTTGGGGGCTCCCTTGTCTCTTGGGAGAGTGGCAGTGACAGCCCAGGGTCACAGAGGCCCTCCCTAACGAGGGCATGTCAAGGACCCGAGGCCACTTTTGTGGCTCCATAGAGAGTCCTGGCCCCAGTCCCAGCCATGCAGGGACGGTCCAACCTGGGTTTCTAACCTTCTGGACGGAGCTGTGAGTCCCACCCAGACCGAGGAGCCTTTCTAGGGAGAACGCAGAGTCAGCTGGTCACTTGGTTTCTTTTTGAATAACAGGAATGATTGTAATTCAAGGTCTTCCCCCGGGGCCTTGAAAAAACACCACCATATGGTTTTCCCTCCAAATAATTTAATGACTGCTTGAAAACTACGATGCTGATGAGGAAAAGTGGCAGCATTGACCCAGAAGAGAAAGTTCAGCTGAAGTCCCAGCCCCAGCTCTTCTTATGTGGAATGTTCTAACAGTCTGAGGCAAAATAGCCAAGTGCATCATCAGCTGGAAGGAAGAAAACATGCTTCCCTTTTGCCTTTCACTCTTTACTTCCCAGAGAAGCTGGGAGAACACAACTCTTTTCTGGAAAAAAAACACAAAAAACAACATAATTCACAGTATTTGCACAATATGTCTCTGGAGAAAGACAAGAAGAATCTAAATAAATACTGATTTGTTTAGAGAGTTGGCTACTTTCTCACCGAGACATAGGATGGCCTTTCTAAAACAACTTTCTGTGTCTTCTAGGAGTAAACAAATAAATCAATATCTGTGGGTAATGGGAGCTGGGTTTCTCCCTGTTGGAGAAGGGAATTACAAATATGGGAAGTGGGGAAGGTTAGAATGAATCCCTGTAGCATTGGACTGAAATTGAAATTATCAATATGAACCTGGGATTTTAATAAGTAGAGATAGATACAAGAATGGATGTAGGTGTGTATGTGGTTCCCCCCTGCCCACACACACACACACACACACACACACACCAACTACATATAACAGATTGTATTAGTTGCCTATGCTTAACATAACAAATTGTCCCAAAACTTAGTGGCTTAAAACAACATTTAATGGGGCTTCCCTGGTGGCGCAGTGGTTGAGAGTCCGCCTGCCGATGCAGGGGACGCGGGTTTGTGCCCCGGTCTGGGAAGATCCCACATGCCGCGGAGCGCATGGGCCCGTGAGCCATGGCCGCTGATCCTGTGCGTCTAGAGCCTGTGCTCCGCAACGGGAGAGGCCACAACAGTGAGAGGCCCGCGTACCGCAAGAAAAAAAAAAAAAAACAACCAAACAAAAAAACAACATTTACTTAGATAGATAAACAACAAGGACCTACTGTATAGCACAGGGAACTCTACTCAATATTCTGTCATAACCTATATAGTAAAAGAATCTGAAAAAGAATAGATACATGTATATGTATAACTGAATCACGTTGCTGTACACTTGAAACTAACACAACATTGTAAATCAACTATACCTCAATGTAAAATAAAAAATTAAATAATGAAAAAAGAATTATTCATTTGGCTTAAGTTCATCAACCATGAAAACCCTTGAGCTGTTTTAAAAAAAAAACGCCAGGAACAAACATTTATTATGTCACAGCGGACCGGGGATTGGATGGGGCTTAGCTGGATGCTCCTGACTCTCGTCTCTCCCAAGGATTCAATCAAGGATGGGCGGGAACTGTGGTCTCATCTGGAGGAGGGCGGTTGGGGCGTATCCATCTCCAAGCCCCCTCGTGTGGTTGCTGTTGGCGAGAACCACCTGCTCTCGAGGCCTGTTGGCCCATCTCCTCCCTCAGTTCCTTCCACGTGAGCCTCTCCCAGGGTGGTTCACAGCCTGGCAGGTGCCCCTTCAGAGCGAGGAGCCCAAGACACATGCAAGACGGAAGCCAGCATGTCTTTATAACCTAACACGTGAAGCAATACCTCATCACTTTTGCTGTATTTCTTTTCCTTTTTTTTAAAAAAGATAATGTGTTTATTGATTTGCCTTTCATCTTAAACTTTCCCCCTCAACACCAAATCTTTTTCTTTTGGCCGCACTACGTAGCATGTGGGATCTTAGTTCTCCGACCGGGGATCGAACCCCTGGCCCCTGCAGTGGAAGCATGGAGTC